AGACCGTTGTCATTAGGCATGGCTGCATATTAGACGACCTGGCCTCGTTGACCACCCAGACTCGCTGGCCATAGTTTGCTGACCCCTGGTCTGGTCTAATAGTGAAATGGTATAGGTTTAAGGCCCCTATCAACACTATACGGTTATTTAAGAGGCAGACCTCCGAGTTAAACCTTCATCCCCGAAAGGACGGAGCCAAAATACGAAATTCGCGTAAAGTGCCTTTTCCAAGGACACAACGTCGGACCGAGCTCAAGCTCGAACCACCGAACCCGCAATCTCACGATATGAGTCTGGTGATAGCCTTGCCACTAGGACACCAACGCCACACCCCTTGTCTGGATCGTGATTTTAGGACATCATGACTTGTATGGACCTACACACAATCAACTGTTATCGTAGAACACGACCTGCCACTGTTTTTTAAAACCAGTTTTATTACTCACTCTGCTCATGAGATTCTACGAATAATTTATAATAATAATATATTACAATCCCCCTCCCTCTCTCTTTCAGGGGCTGAAAATCTTGGGCCAACCACACCTGACCTGTTTTGCCGTGGGGTCAGCCCACCCCGACCTTGACATTATGGCAGTCGCTGACCTGATGGAGAAGAAAGGTTTGTTTATTTCTTTGATCGTCGTTTTTTGTTTGTTTGTTTCATGTATGGGTTGGAGTGTGGGGGTATGGGGTATGAAGTCTGATTGAGTGATTGGTTGGTTGTTTTTTTGGCTGTTTAGTTTATTGATTGGTTGGTTGTTTAGTTGGCTGGTTGGTTAATTGGTTGGTTGTTTTGTTGGCTGGTTGGTTGATTGGTTAAATGATTTTCTTTGTAGTGATGCTTAAGCAATCTCGATTTGTTCTAAAACATCTTTTTTACTGCAAGTTTCTTCAATCATGGAAAATCATTCAAGCTATGTCTTAGTTTCTTCTTCTCTTTCTTTGCCTGTTTTCCCCTTTTCGGCGAATTTTTGTCATTTTTTAGGCTGAACAATAGAGAGAAACCAATACTCAGATTCTTCCATTGTTCCACCTTACCTTATCCCCCAAGATGGAGTTAGACTTTTGGCTTCGTATTTACTCTATCAATAAACATTATTATTCTTTTTTCCTTTATTTCTTTTCTGTCCTTTTTAACAACCATTTTGTTACAAGTACATGTATTCACATGACCTTAGAGTAGAGTATGCATCAGAATAACACTGAGTTGCCATCAAAATACTGAGTATGCACATATCTAGCTAAACGTTTTTATTGTTTATATTACTGTTCGTTTATATTGTTCATGTGACTGTAAGCCTGCGTGTGTGTGCATGCATGCGTGCGCGCGCGCGCGCGCGTGTGTGTGTGTGTGTGTGTGTTTGTGTTTGTGTGTGTGTGTGTGTGTGTGTGTATGTGTGCATGTGGTGAAGCACCAAACCAATGTACCAGGATCTGGACAATAAAGATGTATCTTATCTTATCTTATCTTATTTCTTTTGTTGTAACGCCGAAGGCTGGACAATAGAGAGGAACCAGCAGCCGGACTCCTTGCACTGTTCCATCCTACCTCACCACCAGGCCTCGGCCGACGTGTTCCTCGAGGATATCGCGGACTGCGCGGCTCAGGCTATGGTTAGTACATTGTAGTTTGTTTTGTTTCATTTAGTGAGAGGGCGGGGTGTTTTGCTTTTTTTTT